AATCCTTTATTTTATAACGAGACATTGGGCGCAAAAATAAAAACCATAATTGTAATTCAACAAGTTTATGTAACGTGTTAGTCCGCTTGCCAGCCGCCTAGTTAAAAAACGCGATCTCAATTGATGTCGGCTTCGACAACTTCGGACAAGTAAGATGGGCGCTGGCCGACATTACATTTGCAAGTATTGTATTTGTTTGACGAATTTTACACTGCTGTCATTCTATAACAATCGATTGGTCGTTTTTTTTCAGTCTTACTATTCCTGCAGATATTCTTCAATTGTTATAGGTGCCATAGATTTACATATCTACAACTTGACCTGTGTTAAACCCAAACCATGCGTGCATGACAACCGTCACCCTATACACGGTTACTCAATGAATACCATACTCTACAGTAGACATTTTTAGCTCTCCACCAAAAATTGAATGGTTTATGGTGGACATTATTGCTACGCGTATGTATTATTACCAATTCTATATGGCCGTGTGATCCACCGTATTTTTTCAACGGTCGTTCTATAAATTTTTGATTGTATTTATTCTTATTTTAACATCATAAAAACAAAAATGACACACTTGTACATGAAACAGTAGGTAATGAACTGTAAATGCGGGCGGTTGCTCTGTCAGGCGAGCGAGTGAGCGAGCGATTGCGCGAGCGGATACTTCCGGATTTGCGCGGTCGAAAAAAAAGCGGAAATTGCGCGGTCGAATTGAACAAAGCGAGCGAAAAAAAAGCGATCGAAATCCGGAAGCGGGCGGGAGGCTGGGCGAAATGAGTACTGTATTTACCCTAAAACTAATCAGGTCTCTGCATAGTCCTAAAGGATCTATGTACCAAGTTTCATTGAAATGCGATGATTAGTACTTGAGATACCCGTGGAAAAGCTGAAAATTAACTAATTATGCAAATTAGGTGATTAATATGCACAAATATTTATCGAAAACAATCAATCTCTGCATAGTCCTTGAGTATGTAAGTACCAAGTTTCATTGAAATGTAATGCTAACTACTTATATCAAATGCTGAAAATTAATTAATTATGCAAATTAGGTAATTAATATGTACTGATATTACCATAAAAACTATCAGGTCTGTGCAGTGTCGTATGACATCTATGTACCAAGTTTCATTGAAATGTGATGATTAGTACTTGAGATATCAGTGGAAAAACCGAAAATTGACTAATCATTATGCAAATTAGGTAATTAGTATCCACGGATTATTACCAAAAACTAATCAAAACCTAGCATTAGTTCAGAGCATCTATGTACCAAGTTTCATCAAAATCCAATGAGTGGTTGTTTAGATATCAGTGGAACAGTCATGGAACCACTAAAAAATAGCTAATTATTATGCAAATTAGGTAATTAATATGCACGGATTTTTACCAAAAATTAATCAAATCTGCGCATATGTTCAGAGCATCTATGTACCAAGTTTCATCAAAATCCAATGAGTGGTTCTTTAGATATCAGTGGAACAGTCATAGAACAGCTAAAAATTAGCTAATTATCATGCAAATTAGGTAATTAACGAGCATGGATTTTTACCAAAACCTAATCAAATCTGCGCATTGGCCCAGAGCATCTATGCACCAAGTTTCATCAAAAACCGATGTATGGTTCTTGAGATAGCAGTGGAACAGTCGGACACACATACACACACACACACATACACACATACACACATACACACACACATACAGACACACTAACTGCAAAGACTCCCATTTTGTGCTTCGCACATGGGAGTCAAAAATGAACAAATAGTTCATGTATTGAGAATGTACTATTAATTCAAATTTAACTACTCCTTCAAAGTAATGGAATGGCCCACTTTCCAAAGTCGGAAACGCGTCCCGAGACCCCTTTGTGTGTACACGTGATTTACTTTCTTATTCTAGCTCTGACTGCAAATCGAAGTGATCATCAGATATTATGGCACTTAAGCAAAACGCCAAAAATCAAATGTATGAACCAGGGCAGTTTTTGAGTACTGATTTGAGAAGTTTGATCATCGAAGAAGTAAAAAACAGAGGAGGACATGTTGAGTCCGGTGAACTCCCTCGTGGAATATTGGCGCATGTTGGTAGGAAATTCAAAGTAGACGAACGTACAGCGAAGCGACTTTGGACAAGATATTGGCAAACTGGGTCCTTCCAAGCTAAGCGTCGTTCAGGTGGAAAGGACAAAATTCTTGAAAGACAAGAAATCGCGCTACTCGAAGGCCTTAAGCGAGAACGACTGTCTGTTTCACTCAATGAACTCCGGGACGAGCTGCTGCAATTCACACCGGTGACTAGCGTCTCATTGGCAACGGTTTGTAGTACTGTGAAAAACGATTTCAGTGACGGTAGCTGGTCAAGGAAAAAAATGGCAATCACGCGAGGAGAGAGATTTACGGACCGAAACTTGCGATACACCCAGGATCCATACAGAATTAAATTTATGGATGAGTCCGGCGTGAAAGTGAGTTGCGGACATTCGAGAAAAGGAGAACCTTGCGTTGAAGTCAGTCGCTATGCGGCAGGTGGTGTCAACTTCACGGTCAACCTACTAGTTGGAGCTGACGACGTCAAGTACTGTAGCGTTGTCGAGGGTCCGTCGAATACCAACCGTTTCATCAATTTTTTTGTTGAAGCAGTGGAAAATTATACCGATGACGGACAACAGATCTTACAACCTGGGGATTTTGTTGTCCTCGACAACGCCCCAATTCACCATAATGAAGCTGAGGTTATACTTTCTAACTGGTTTGAAACGATGGGCATCGAATATATTTTTTTACCCACTTATTCCCCAGACTTCAATCCCTGTGAAAACTGTTTCGGTAAGATGAAAGAAATACTCAAAAGGGAACATTATCGCCGCCTCTTGCATGATAATATTGCGGTCGCCGTGTATGATGCTGTCGGCGAAATTATGTCAACAGACATTGCTGGTTATTATAACCTGACTGGATATCTCTAAGTCTAACTTCTTTGTCTATGACATAAACCAAACGGCCCTTTTCAGGGCCACTAAATATTCAAAAAAGAGAACTACTGTAATACATTGCTTGTGTTTGTGTCTGTTTGGTGGTTATGTGTGAGTTTATGTAGTACTGGTATATTTGCCCTGCGTACAATGCTGTGTGTAAGGGAACGCGTCCGGTTGATAGATGTCCCTCACCACAGCCCTGCCTACCTTCCACGTTCAACGTAATCCCTTCTTAGACAAGCGTCATTAAGTACACATTGGTGTGTACATGTTTTGTTTATTTTACTATATTTTACTAGTTACTCCTACCAGACTTTATCTCAGTCAAGGTTGCAATGCGGATGCTGTACCTGAAAGAGCTGTAGTACTTTTCATAATCAATACTAGAATATAACGTTATAAGATTTAAATTGAGCATAAGCAATATTACGGTTTCCCCACAAACTACTGTAAAAGTCCTTATATAAACCACGGTTTATTACAATGTGTCAATTTAAAAATTGGGGTCAAAATCTCAAGTTCGGGGTGCAGTTTATATTCGGTGCACATTGCAATCACTAAATGGGCGTGGTCATTTTTCCCACAACACAAGCACAAAACAAACAATTACACCGTATAATATTTTGAATAGGTGTCAGGAAGTATATTCAAGAAATAGTTTCAAATAAAAACAAACATGAATGCATTGCTTAGTAGAAAATGATTACAGTACGGTAGCAAAATCTGGTCATGCTACGTTTCACAAGTGAATACTTACTAGTTTCGAGGTGTTAAATTTGTTAATTATAATAATGTATGAAAAATAAATTGTTATGCAAGGAAAATTCAACTTAGTTTCAATGTAAGCAAATGATTTCAGTCACATGTAAATGCTCGATGCAATACAATATCTGCCATGTTTTTTATCAGTGCACACAAGACCTCGAACTGTGTTTAGTGACCAGATAGGTCAAGTCGCTAATTAACCAATCAAAATGTTGAACGGTGCCAATGTGTTAGAATTACCATAGCGCATTTAAATATGTTAATGACAGTTCAGTGACTTCATGGTGAATGCAACACGGGAGAGATTTACTTATATTGTAATGCGATCTTTTGGCTTTGATTTAGATGGGAAAACAGTATGATTTTTTTTTTTACATCAAGAAATTAGTTTTTTTCAAAAGATAAACTGAGTACTGATGAAGAATTTAACACTTTCACGGTGATAACAGCTCACTGTCGAAAACATACAAAAACCCGGACGTATTCATAATGTTGCCTCAAGAACAAAAGCAGTTTCACACAATAAATAAGTGTGAATATTTTTTAGACACGTTGAAACAAATAAGGTTAGGAACAATGCCGTTTTGGACCAGCTGGTTGAAACAATGAAGTCAGTCACGGCCATGTTGAATTGGGGGTGCGGTTAGTAATAAGTACTTTTCATGTTTGCAATTTTTATCAAAAACTCTTCAATTCTGAAAACGGAATTGGGGGTTTGGTTACTATTATACGTATGCGGTTTATATTAGGACTTTTACAGTATGAACTGTTTTGTAAACCTGCGTGTCCTTCACTATAATCTGCTGCAAAATCATCTGTATTTGTCCTACAGCACATAGAACATGAAACAATGTATGATAAATTGGTTATTTCACGATAACCCCTTCATATCGCACTATTCAAGAAACAGGAATACTCATAAATACAAAAAAATATAAGGATTGTCATATAATGACCTCTATGTATAGGTATGTGTATGAAATAATTTAAAAACACTGACTAGATGTTGCGGTAAGTGAAATGTCCATCTCAGCTACTTGGCGATCTGCTTCAATTCTTTGTTTCTTTCTCGGTTGAGTTCTTTCATCATCAGATCTGTGTCTTTTCCTGGCTTGTTCGCTTGCTGGACTCAAATAAAGCTTGAAGACTTCTTTACTCTGATGTAATTGCATGGCAGGCATGTTGAACTGTCTGTGCTCCTTTCATAATAAAAAGATAATGAGATTGAAATACATTAAAATCAGACAAGTGCAACAGATTTTTGTGTTGTATTTAGAGAGAATTGTGATAATATGAGATAAAAGCACCAAAGCTTAAGTAGACAATATGCTGAGAATTTTGTGGGCATGGCAACAGTGTCTTCTATAGATGGTGATATTTTTATTGTAATGGTGATGTAGAAATGTAGTTTTAATTATGAATACACGATCTCCACTCATTTATAAACACCGAATATGCTAATCAGCAAAATTTTAATTTTGTAAATCTGTAAATGCAAATGAGCAATCTGATTGGGTTACAAGCACTAGATAGATTTTAATTTGTTGTCAACAATTGCATGTGATCCATGACACATGTTTGAAATTTAAACATGATTGCTTAAAGTTAGAGATAAGGCTTTGGTACAGCATTCCTTAAAACAAAATATTCCCATACATAACCAAGATTGAATCCAGAATGGCAGTAATGCTTGATGAAAATTTTAGCAGTAAAATGACTGCCATACTGCCATCTTGAATCCGATCATGAAACGAATGCACATGCATATGTATTCCAAAATATATCATATATGATCGAAGTTTGAATGGGATTGGTTAAGGCATGTTCAAGATGTAGCTCCTGAACAGCACTCATTAAACAAAATCAGTCTGCAGAAAAAAATGACATGCAACAATGGTTCTATAAGGTCTTTGGATGAGTTATAAAGCAAAACACTACCATCTATAAATAGAGAACTTCAGCAGTTTTAAGTATACAAAAATAAGGACACTAGGACATTTATATTTAAAAGCCATATGAAAAACCTGCCTATGACTTTTGCTGTAAACCACTTCAAGTTACAAATCATATAATATTATAGACAATGGCAGACTGTGTACCATTAGGAAATCAGTTTGCACATATTCACTTACATCCACAACGTCTGGATCTGGGTTCACATTAAATCCAGGATACTCTATGATTTTCTCAGGGTTATACAAACTTTTCTTTTCACCATGCAGTTCTCCAGTTTCCAAAGCCTCACCATCCTCTCCAGTAGCTGAAATGAATACAGAGAAGATCACCTGATATGTGGCATAATGATTAGCATGTTCACACATCATCAGGGTAATTGTGGGATCAACTCTGGAAAAAGAAAGCCAAGATGTTTCTATTTCAGTGTTCATAGCATACTTACAATGTACAACCATGAAGGGAAAGGTAAGTCCAGATGTTTCTATTTCAGTGTTCATAGCATATTTATCTTTCCCTTAATGGTTGTACATTTTAAGTCCAGATGTTTCTATTTCAGTGTTCATAACATACTTACCTTTCCCTTAATGGTTGTACATTTTAAGTCCAGATGTTTCTATTTCAGTGTTCATAGCATACTTACCTTTCCCTTCATGGTTGTACATTGTAAGTCCAGATGTTTCTATTTCAGTGTTCTTAGCATACTTACTTTTCCCTTCCTGGTTGTACATTTTAAGTCCAGATGTTTCTATTTCAGTGTTCATAGCATACTTACCTTTCCCTTCATGGTTGTACATTTTAAGTCCAAATGTTTCTATTTCAGTGTTCATAGCATACTTACCTTTCCCTTCATGGTTGTACATTGTAAGTCCAGATGTTTCTATTCAGTGTTCATAGCATACTTACCTTTCCCTTCATGGTTGTACATTTTAAGTCCAGATGTTTCTATTTCAGTGTTCATTGCATACACGTACTTACCTTTCCCTTCATGGTTGTACATTGTAAGTCCAGATGTTTCTATTTCAGTGTTCATAGCATACTTACCTTTCCCTTCATGGTTGTACATTTTAAGTCCAGATGTTTCTATTTCAGAGTTCATAGCATTGTTGCGTTTGAGTTTATTTTTATGTATTTATTATTTGTGTAATTTGTAGTTGGGGTTTTATTGAAACGTCATATTGTCCTCGGTCGCTTTATGTCGTGTTCTTTTGTCAATTCATCCCTATTTTGCATATTTATTTGTACTGAGTTAGGGAGTCTGCTTTGGCTATAAAAGCCTTTTGTTTTACGTTGACGAGTTAAACGGCAATTAGACGGTAGACTGATAGCAAGAAGACTCCAAATAGACGGTGAACTGATAGCACTATAATTTTTACAAGTATCACTGACTGGTTTATCAGTTTATTAGGAAATGGGGATTGTTCTTGAACATTGATAGCTGTCCGGTCTGGCTTGTGTTTTCGTTCCGGTGACGTGTTGGAAGAAGCTGGAAGAAGTCCACGTGTGAGCTGAAACTTGGTACGCTTCGACAAAGATGAATGAAGGAAGATTGACACCACCTGGGAGTCGTGACAAAAGTTCGAAGAGGACGGAGTGACAGGCCAGCACAGAACGAACTCTTTGATTTGATTTGATAAGTATTGTTAATTTTGACTGTTTGTTCTTTTTGCCGTTTTTAAACGGAAGTCTATATTGGATGTATGTTACTACTAGCATTTTTGTTTGAGGTGTGGTGTAGCACACAAAGTTATGTGACATTTCAATAGGCCATTGAAAATATACTACCGTACTATCTTGCACACTGCTTGCGTTTGGGCGTTTTATTTGTTATACGAGTCAAGTACCAGCATCTGAACGTAACAAGCATACTTACCTTTCCCTTCATGGTTGTACATTTTAAGTCCAGATGTTTCTATTTCAGTGTTCATAGCATACATGTACTTACCTTTCCCTTCATGGTTGTACATTGTAAGTCCAGATGTTTCTATTTCAGTGTTCATAGCATACTTACCTTTCCCTTAATGGTTGTACATTTTAAGTCCAGATGTTTCTATTTCAGTGTTCATAGCATACTTACCTTTCCCTTAATGGTTGTACATTTTAAGTCCAGATGTTTCTATTTCAGTGTTCATAGCATACTTACCTTTCCCTTCATGGTTGTACATTGTAAGTCCAGATGTTTCTATTTCAGTGTTCATAGCATACTTACCTTTCCCTTAATGGTTGTACATTTTAAGTCAAGATGTTTCTGTTTCAGTGTTCATGGCATACTTACCTTTCCCTTCATGGTTGTACATTTTAAGTCCAGATGTTTCTATTTCAGTGTTCATAGCATACTTACCTTTCCCTTCATGGTTGTACATTGTAAGTCCAGATGTTTCTATTTCAGTGTTCATAGCATACTTACCTTTCCCTTCATGGTTGTACATTGTAAGTCCAGATGTTTTATATTTCAGTGTTCATAGCACATTTACCTTTCCCTTCATGGTTGTACATTGTAAGTCCAGATGTTTCTATTTCAGCTTCTTTAAGATATCCTGGAGGATAGCCATAGATTCTCATTTGGTATATAAATGGAGGAAGTTGATTTTGAGTGATATTTAAAGCTTCTCTCAATGTATCACTGCAAAACAAGAAACATTTAATTTATTGAAAACAATAGCAGTTGTTGGGACATTCATTTGCTAAAGGCCTTCACACTTTGCGTACAAGCACAGTAACTGATTGTAAGTACCGATTGTTCACGCCTGATGACGATGTCTTTCACTGCTATCTTTATTAAATATAAATGTATGTGACCATTTAAAGAAAAATTAATGGGTAATGTTGTCACATTGATCGGTGAGAAACATTTCTCAACTGACATTTGCATGCTGGTTGGCAAAAATGTAAAAAAATTACATCACAGTATTATAGCCTTCTAATCCTTGGATTATTAAATGTAATATACTAATATTAGAATAGAGAGTGACTCACCTAAAAACACCTGGTTTAAACTTGGACAACCTTTCTTTTGCCTCATCATCCTTGTGATAACGCCCTGACCTTGGTGATGTACCCATGCTGTCCATGAAAACTTGTCGATTTTGGTTGATTTTAACAAGATCACGAGGCTGTGTTGAACAAAAGAAATGAGTGATGTTTAAATAGCCTATGAATCGCTTGCTAGTCTGATGTCCAAAATCACTTATTGTATTGAATAGTATTGTAGTTTATAAATTTAAGCATAAAATAAATATTTCAATAAGAACAAGCCATGCATGGCACAGTCCCCGTTAGTTATCAAATTTAAGATATATAGTTTTGTTTATAGTAATATAGCTGGAATATAACCATGTCAGGAATATGATTTTTTAACATTAAAATGATTGACATTTGTATCTGATCGTCAAACAAGTACTTGTCCATATTGAGAGAGAGATATTGCTCTGGAACAGCATTCAAAATCAGCCATTTTGAATACATATATATATGTAACGTGATGTATAACGAATATATAAAATTTAAATATAATAAGTCAAAGCATTTAAGAGATATGGCTCTAGAAGCCCAATCATTAAAACAAAATGGCTGCCAGTCAGCCATTTTGAATCCAATCTGAAAAATAAAATGACGAGCATCAGGAACCCGTAATGTCTAATGTATGTACCAAGTTTGAACGAAATCCACCCATAAATGCTTGATATTTGATGATTTTTTAGCAGAAAAATGACCACCATTCGGCCATTTTGAATAGGATAGTCAAACCAATATATCTGTTTATCTATGACATGATGTATAATGAATATTTAAAATTTGAACATAATCAGTAAAAGCATGTCATAGATATGGCACGAGAACCACATTCATTAATACAAAATGGCCGCCAGTCGGCCATTTTGAATTCTATCTGAAAAACAAAATTATTTGCATCAAGGTCCCATAATGTCTAATGTATATACCAAGTTTGAACAAAATCCATCTGTAAACAGCGAGAAATGGTTGATTTATAGGATTTTTTAGCACAAAAATGGCCGCCATTCGGCCATCTTGAATAAGATCGTGAAACAAAATGATGTGCATATGTATATTATCATGTATGTGTGAAGTTTGATTGTGATTGGTCCACGCATTTCTAAGATACAGGGTCGGACGCACGCACGGACACACACACACGCACGCACGGAGGTCAAGACATAAGTCCCCGTTTTCGGACTGCGTCCGAACGGAGACTAAAAATAGGTGCACAAAACTGACAGAGGTCCACCCAAGAAACCTACAGGTACACTGTACATACCAAGTATCAAAGCAATTGAACTGGTAGTTTTCAAGAAGTCTAAATAGCATTTTTTACCAAAAATTACAAAAATATTTCCCAAAAATAGAGAGTTAAAGATTTTGTCACCACATTAACAGAACTCAATACATGTTCACTATCAATATTAGCCATGTAGACAAAATAGTGTCATACACATGTAGTAGAAGTCATTCAAGCATTGAATTTGCATAAATGATGGCAAATTGATTTCTCATTCATCAAGGCAGCTACACAACAAAAATGAGGTCAAACAGTTCAGCAGTTTTTGAGAAGAAGTCGCCCACATCCATCAAGACATCCAGAATGCGGACACTGCACCTATGGTTCCTTGAGCTAAAAATGTGTTTCAAAATTCCTGTCCACTATCAGTAATTTATTGCATTTTACTAACACACTATCAAAATACAGCTGACTTGCAGGAATATGTGCTGTTCCAAAACCTGTTATCACCCCACCGCAGATTCCATGTATTACAATTCAAACTAACAAACCAAGTGAACTTGTTTCGGAAATCACCGTGTATTGCAGGTCAAACACATGCCAGTCGCAACATAATTTGAAAACTTTGAACGATTGTTGGCCCTGAGCTTCTCCCGGTCATAAATTAAATCAAAGCACATTTAGCGCTGGGTCATGACAATTATTAGCCATCTGATGGTTTTTAAAAAGAAATAGAAAATGTAAAGTTGAACGGACAGCAATGGCAAAGAATCAGTAATATGAATACCATCATATCATCATAAGTTGATAGCAGAGCTAAGAAAGTGCAAAATAATGATTCCGGAATGAATAAAAAATAGCTTCCAATCAGCCATCTTGAGTCAAGTTGCTAAATAGATTATTTCTAAGCAGTATTACATATACATGCAATTTGACTGATTGATCTAGCTTTGTATGAGATATATTTATAAGCAATAGCACCCTAGCATGCACATGAGTAAATTTAAAGTCTGTTTTCAAACATTGTCTGAGCAGGGACTTAATAAAGCAACTACAAGCAGGTTGATGCTATAAAAGTTTACTAAGAATAAATTACCTGAGTACACTCCCTGAGGGAGTGAGATTCACTGTCACAATTCCAGCATGTGGCTTTCGGCCTGAGTAAAAACAAAATATACACATATACAATTTCAAGCAAACACTTTGTTAGTAGTTGTCAAGTATATCTCTCATTAGTGATATAATTATAGCTATAATTGTACCACAAACGAGAAAAGACTAATCGTAATCTCGTTATTTAAACTACCGTAGTACACACTTGCATTCCACAAAGACTTGCATGTATATTGAAACTTTGCTACAGGTAAACCCCAGGAAGCGAGAGGCACCTAAACTAAATTAACAATTTTGCTACAGGTAAACCCCAGGAAGGAAGAGGCATCTAAACCAAAATATAGACTTTGCTACAGGTGAACCTGAAGGAAGGAAGAGGCACATGAACCAAATTATAAACTTTGCTACAGGTGAACCCCAGTAAGGAAGAGGCACCTAAACCAAATTATAAACTTTGCTACAGGTGAACCCCAGGAAGGGAGAGGCACCTAAACCAAATTATATACTTTGCTACAGGTGAACCCCAGGAAGGAAGATACACCTAAACCAAATTATAAACTTTGCTACAGGTGAACCCCAGGAAGGGAGAGGCACATGAACCAAACTATAAACTTTGTTACAGGTGAACCCCAGGAAGGGAGAGGCACCTAAACAAAATTATAAACTTTGCTACAGGTGAACCCCAGGAAGGGAGAGGCACCTAAACCAAATTATAAACTTTGCTACAGGTGAACCCCAGGAAGGGAGAGGCACCTAAACCAAATTATAAACTTTGCTACAGGTGAACCCCAGGAAGGGAGAGGCACCTAAACCAAATTATATACTTTGCTACAGGTGAACCCCAGGAAGGAAGATACACCTAAACCAAATTATAAACTTTGCTACAGGTGAACCCTGGGGCAGGGCACCTAAAACAAAATGACAAACAAACCTTGCTACAGGTGAACCCCAAGAGAGAGCACCTAAACTATGAGACAAATAAACTTAGACAGAGGGTTTTCAACCCGCCTATTCACCTAGTTCATACCCCCGGGGAGGGTATAGCTAAACCAAAAGACAAACAAACTTTGCTACAGATAAATCTTGGGGGAGAGCATCTAAACCACAAGACAAACATGAACTTTGCTACAGGTAAACCCAAGAGGAGGGCACCTAAACCAAAACGCAAGCACAAACATTGCTTATACTACCAGTATGAGATGAGTCCCTGGATGAGGAAGAGGTACCAAAGGACGAACATAATCTTCATGATGAGTGAATGAATTAATGAAACTCATACATGTCATTTAGTATCTATATATTAAAGGAATTAATGGAACATTGTTGGCTTGTTCTCATTCTGTTCCTTGCAGGGAGACAATACAAAAATTAAAAAATATATTGTAAAATGACAATCCTACCTTGATCTCTTTTTAGGTTTTGAACCATCATCATCAAATGGAAGGGCATCTGTAAACACCTGTGAATAACTGACATGTATTCAGGAAAAAACACTGAGGGATAAGTGATATGAGAGGTACAATTTTTAGTGAAGAAAAACATTTTGTCTGTCAATAGTTGTACTTTCAGATAATGTAACCGATGCCAGTGCAATATCTATGACAATCTGACACATAATAGTGTCTACTCAGAGAACAAACTTATAAAATACAGGCATCCAGATCTAGAGAGAATTTTAGCTACTGTAAAATACTGTATTTTTGCTTAGAATTAATTTTCACTATTTTCGCTGAAGGAATGATTCAGTGTAAATAAAATCCTGCAAATATACCCGTTTTCCTATATTTTACATTCAACTCGTTAAAAATCAGCGAAAATAAGTTCCATACAAAACGAAAATTTATTACAGCTAAAAAAAAAGTATTTTTACAGTATTCACACACCTAAGATGGCGATTCGGATACCAGTGTTTTCCATAACCCTCTTTCTATATTTACTCTATTAAAACTAGAAGAGCACAAACTAGATAATTGAAACATATGGCATAGTAAACAAGCCATGCATGGCACAGTCCCAGTTAGATATTAAATTTAAGAAATATGTATAACGAATATATAAAATTTGAATATAATCAGTCAAAGCATTTAAGAGTAGGCTCTATAAGCCCAATCATTAAAACAAAATGGCCGCCAGTCAGCCATTTTGAATCCAATCTGAAAAAAAAAATGCCATGCATCAGG